GTCTAAATATATCCCATTACATTTATAATCTAATCTTCAAATCCCCATGTAAGCTTCACCCGCCTGCATTTTGCAAGTAGTCCATCAATGGTTTCCATTCCTTAAGGTAATAAGTATTTGATTTTTCTTTTAATAAATAAGTCAGTTTATCATTTTCTGTATAGTTGTGCATGATTTGAACACCAGACCATAAAATGTCATTTTGGAAGTGGCAGCTTCTGTTATATACATACTGACATTGTAGGGCAGTTATATTTTTCTTGCATATCTTTGACTAGAAGAAACTCCCTTCTGGGTTTCTCTGCAGAAGGTGAGTGCAGAATATATCATATATCATGCAACCTACGTTAGACAGATACAGTTACCCCCAGTCTAGTCCCCTCTAGAGATCTGGGACTATATTTCTCATGTTCCCCATTCAGCCATAATGCAGGAGAGGCTGGGAGTAATCACCCAGCACATGCGTGGTAAATAATGTCACAAATGTGCTAAGCCATTGCTTGGTGGACCATGCTTTGTTAAATAAACCATCACTGGCTTGAGTCATGCAACACACTGAGAAATATATCATATAGTGTGCATCCAAGTCATTGACAAGAAGTGTGATGAAAGTGCAGAGAAGCCTGGACAACAACATTGGGTATCTGGGCATGTGGGGGTGGCAAATATGCCCTTAATTTTGTTGGTTGGAGCATCCATTCTTTAGATTTCAGTGTCCGGCCCTGAGAGAAAGTAGAAGACTAAAATAAAACCACCTAAAATCTTCAGTCAAATTTCAATCTCTGAAGGAGGAGAAGAGCAAATGCTTCTCAGTCTTGCTGAGCATCATATGTGAAAGCCTGGGCAGGACTGATAAAAGGACAGGAATAGCAGTCTGGCCTGCAACACTCCACTCAACCAGGAGATGGCAGCAAAACTGCAAAAATGGCCATTACTTTGCTACCATCTAGTGGCCTACTTGAGCTTTGCAGGTCAGAGCTAGTAGCTCTGTAGGAAAAACATGCTATGTATTGGCTGTCCGTTCATTTGCGACGCTGGGTAAAGTGAAAAGTAGATTATCCACAGCAATAATCATTTTGCTAGTGTGAGATCAAAACGCAGGACACAAATGCAGAATAATCAAGGCTTCACTGCAGTG